AAATGTAAATCTTGTATTTCATTGGTATACATATACATACGTACGTACATATATACGTATATAGTATCTGACTATATCAATATTACTATTTAATTATTGAAATAAATTTAAACATGATTAACAATTTATTTTAAAATCGCAAAAAAAAAAAAAGGTTAATAGTTTCAATTCTTATAACATAGAGACCTGGTTGCAACTAGTTATTCATGAATTCTACACCTGTAATCAGTATGATTGTGATTATTTAATAAGCTGCTTTTATTTAATAAATTGTAAAACTCAATATGGCTATATTTAGAAGCAGGTTTGAATCAAAAATATAACTATTTTCAAGTAATAATATTATGTTTGTTTGTTATATTCTTGATTCAAAATCAGATAGACACTAAACAATTTTATATCTTGAATTGGACTTGAATTAGAATTCACAAGTTTGGAAATGATTTTCTAATTGTTAATTACATATGAACAATTTTAAACTTATATAACAGTGATCATATCAGCAATTTGATTTTTTTTAATATAGAAGAATTTGAAGATGACATAAATGATTTTAATGTAAATTTGTGATATTCTTCTATTTCAGAAAGTTATTTAAATACAAATGAAACTTTTGAATTAGAAAAAAATAATTTTGCTTTAACATCCACTGAACTTTCTTCAAATACTACATCATATTCTAATTATGGTTGAAAAAAAAAGTCAAATCTTAATCCAATTTCTTTAGTTAAAACTACACAACGTAAAAATCAAAGTCATACTAGTTATTTTTTTCGAAGTGAGCCAAATAATAAAGAAATTATATATTGTAAAATATGTGAGAATAATTTAAAAGATACTTCAAAAAAACCTTATCTATATACACGTAAGAGAGATAATACATCTAATTTGTCTGCTCATTTGTATAACAAATACCAAATAACAATTGATAATTATAAACAATTTTTAGATGAAACTAGTGAACCAAATATAGATCAAACTAAATTAACTGATTTTTATAAAAAATCAGCTTTATGTACAAACCAATATCAAACTTACCTTTTACAACTTCTTATTAAATTTATTATAAGATTCGTTAAACCACTATATATATTAGAGGATGAAGATTTTTGTAAATTTGTAAATAGTTGCGAACCCGAATATAGAATACCTTGTGTTAAATCTGCTAAAAATATGATTTATCAAGCATACGATTGGAATGTTAGTCAACTTCATAATTTAATTTTAAATACGACAGCTTGTGTTCATTTGACTACAGATCTTTGGACCACAAAAAGCAAGCATAGTTATATTGGTATTACAGGTACTTGGCTTACTGAAGATTTTGTGTTTAAAGAAGTTCTTTTAGCTTGCAGTGATTTACTGCATCCTCATTCAGAAGAAATTATTAGTACTAAGTTTTTTTCAATTATTCAAAAATAGAATTTAAGTTCATTAATATATGCAATAACTACAGACAATGCCACAAATATGATTAAAGGTGTGCATATACTTAAGTCACAATTATCTGAGATTACAAGACAGGTATGTGCTGCTTATACTTTGCAATTGACAGTTCAACAAGGTTTAAAACAATACAAGGCAATGCATCGTCGAATGAAAAATTTAATAGCATTTTTTAAGCTATCTAAACAGTTGCAAAGACTTTATAAAGCACAATTACAAATAAAAAGCACTGACAAATCTAATAAACAAAATGAAAATTATAAATTTAATCTATTAAATATTTTAAGTGAAACTAAAACTTGTTAGAACTCAACGTACCTTGCTTGAAAACAGGTTTTAAAATTATACACAGCAATAAAGTTAGTTTCTACAACATTGCTTTTAACAAAAGATTGTAGTACTTAATTGGAGGGTAAAAAACTTGACAGGTTATGTTTAACTATAGATAAAAAAAAATTTATTGAAGGTATAGTCAATTTATTAAGTTTTTTTGAAATAGTAACTCATCATATATGTGGTGCAAAATATCTTATACTTAATTTAATTCACTTATATATAGAAATACTTAAAAAAAAGGTTCAACCATGATTTGAAAAAAATGAAACGATTGATTCTTATTTAGCCTTAATTTATAGTGAGTTAGAAGACTTATCTAATCAACCTAATATAAAAAAATTATCTGATACTGATGATTCAAGTTCTGTTAGTGAAGATGAAAATATACTATCAGCAGGTAAATGTCGATATTGGCAATTTGCACACTGTTAATTTAAACAAAATATGTATAAAAAGTATAGTAAAAGTCGAAGTCAAAATCAAAAAAAATTAAAAGTCATAATAAAAGTAAAGGTAAAAGTAGTGTAAGTTGACAATTACAAAATAAATCAGATAATATAAATAAAATCGAATACTTACCACCAACTGATACTTCAAGTCTTCTTGATAGAGTTTGAGCTGCTATCTACTTGTCATTAGATAAATTGTAATGTATTTCAAATGATATAGCTTTAGTTACATTAATTTTAAATTCTAGGATAAAAAGTTTACGATTCGCTACAAATACTCAACAAACAAATACAAGAATTAAACTTCGTGAATTATATAAAAATATAAAAGACAATTTACAATTACAAGATCAAAACCAAGCGTCTAATATAACTACTTTTAGCAAACATGATACTTTAGAAGATGATGATTTTTTTGCTAAAGTTTTTAACTTAGAAGAATCAAATAATAATACAATAGAATTTGAAGAAAACAAAGTATCACAATATCTTAAATATCCTAATGCTAAACCTAATGATGATCTACTTATTTGGTAGAATAGTAAAAAAAATATTTTTCCTTTATTGACTTCATTAGCACAAAAATATCTTTCAATCCTAGCTATGTCTATACCAAGCGAATAATTATTCTTAAATATTAAGAATCATATTTTATCTAAATAAACATATCTATCACCTGAACTAGTAAATTATATATTATCTTTAAAAAAAAATAGTGTATATTATGGTATGTTTTCTTCAATAAGTGCATAGTATTTGTATTAAAATTTTAATTTATTAAAGTATTGTGATGGGTTTATGGCTATATTTTTTTTATTTTTTATTATATATATATTTTTTACTATTATTATCTATATATTATCTCTTCTTGTTATAAAATTTTTTCTTTTTTTTGTAAGCTTGTTCTAAAAGTAGAGGATATCTAAAGTGAAGTAAATTCACATGACCTTATATTTAATAATTTTCTCAATTAACTTTAGAGTTAGGGTCATCTTATATTAAGGTTAGGTTAGGTTTTAGATTGTTAGATATAAGCAAAATTGTCTTTCCGACATTTTATTTTTTATTTTTTAGGCTTTTTATTTTTGTTTCTTGCTTTGCGATCATAATTTGATTGGCTGTGATTATATAAAATTGCTACCACTTTAGATGACCCCAAAAGTAGTAAGCGAAAAAGAGATTATTACCTTAGATAGAAAGAATATTTATTATAGTCAACATGTTCAATATAGTGTATATAGTTAACATAGTTAACATACATGATGAATATAGTAGACATGTTGAACATAGTTAATATATCAAATATAATCGTTATATACTTTATAAGTATGTAAAAGATATAAAAGACTTGCCTTTTCACTTGAATAAAGACTAACTTTGTAAAGTTTAAAAATTCCTTGAGTTTGAAAAACTTTTGAAATTAGAGTAGAAGTGTTTGTCTTTAACCTGTTGACCATTTTCTTAAAAATTGTTCATCATTATCGTATTTTCTTGTTTCTGTGACTATTGTATATTGTATTGTTTTAGTAAAAAAAAGAAATTGTATTAGAAATACAACCAAATATATTAAAATCGAGTATGTGATTAATATCATCATACCTGATTCATGATTCTATAATACTGTAACCTTGTATTATATTCCAATTGGCTAAATTCGATCATAAGACCCAGTATCTATGAAAAGAAAGAGTTATAATATTAGTGAAGATATTAAAGAAAGTACTTATTAAGAAAATAAAAAAGCGGATATTCTATAGAATAGGTGGGCAAACTCCGCAAACTCCACAACTCTGCTATTAAAAAATTAATGATTACTAATCATTAGCAAAGCTTATTTCTTATATTGCTCATCTATTCTATAGAACATCCAAGAAAACACTTATCTGAGTTTAATACTATCTTTACTAATCCAATTAATCCTGGTTACTTAGACCAAGTCTTTCCATAACTCAATCATAGCCTTACCAATATTAGGGTAGTTTTAGTATTCTAGATTGGATAGTTCAGTTAGTATTTTTAAGTAGTGAGTTATTATATATCAGCCCAGTAACTTTTTCGATATAGCCTATATTTTTATACTTTTACAATATATATAGTTAATATAAAAAGCTAATCAAATTATATAATCAGATATAACATAAAACTATTGCATTTGGATTCTAATAAAAAAAAATTCTTTGTGAAATTTTGATATAAGCTATAGCTTGCCTAGTGCTCCGCAAAAGCAAATCAAAGGTTGAGTTTGAAATCAAATATTTGATCAAGTCAAATTTGATCAAATAATTGATCAAATCA